GAGCCCAACGCAGGGCTCAAACTCGCGAACCGTGAGATCATGATCTGAGACGACACCAAGAGTCAGACCCTGAAGTGACTGAGCCACCCACCCCGGTGCCCCACACAAACTGTATTTTAGCCGTATTTTTCAACCTGCTCACATTTCATAATTTAAGGCCAATGACCTAGCGTCTTCAATGAACAGTCAATCCAGATTTTAGTTCTCGCTCAACAGCTGACTACAAACGTTACACAAGACACGTACGCACGGTCCCGAGTGTCACCACCTGCAGAAGAGGATACCCTGTTCTCTAATTTCACTAAAATATGGTGAGACTAATAGAGTGAGACATTTCACTACTTGCATGTATTTCCAGGAAAACTACACCATCAGTATGACGTTTAAAACAATCGTTTTCTCTTTTTTTAATGTTTTTCATTTTTTGAGAGAAAGAGACAGAGAGTGAGCGGGGGAGGGGAAGAGAGAGAGGGAGACACAGAATCCGAAGCAGGCTCCAGGCTCCTGGCTGTCAGCACAGAGCCTGACGTGGGGCTCGACCCCACGAACTGTGAGATCATGACCTGAGCTGAAGTCAGACACTTAACCAACTGAGCCTCCCAGGTACCCCTAAAACAATTATTTTTTCTAAGTTTATTCATTTATTTTCAGAGAGACAGAGACAGCGTGAGCAGGGGAGGGGCAGAGAGAGGGGGAGAGAGAGAGAATCCCAAGCAGGCTCCACGCTGTCAGCACAGGACCTGACATGGGACTTGAAATCACAAACCGTGGGATCATGACCTGAGCCACAACAGAGAGCTCGACGCTTCATCGACTGAGCCACCCAGGTGCCCCAAAACAATCATTTTTAATAAAAAATAATTATATTAGCAAAGCACGTTCGTTTCTGAAAGATCGGAAGATTTAACAAAAAGAAATTTTAAAACATAATCCAGAATGATACCATAACAGCAGCTACATGTCATTACGCATTTGTCCCAACCTGTAAGAGGTACAACCTCCAAAAGCGTGCCCCCATGTGAGCTGTGGATTCAGGAGGATGACTGCGTGTGATCGCAGGTTCATCAACTATGCCACTCGGGTGGGGGAGGCTGCACACAAGGGGGGGGGGGGCTACGGGAACTTTCCTCAGTTTTGCTGTGAACCTAAAACGGCTCTGAAAAATGAAGTCTACGAACAATAACAACAACAACACATCATCTATCTACAGAAATAGACACACCGATCCTAAAATTCACGTGGCAATCCAAGGGGCTCACAACAGCCAACACAATCTTGAAACGGAACAAAGTTGGAGGGCTCACGCTTCCCAACTTCAAAGCTTGACAGTAATCAGTGGATTACTGGCGTCAGGTCAGACACGTACGTCTAGAAATAAACTCTGCCATATACAGTCAATGGGTTTTCAACAAGGGCGCCGATACGATTCAATGCGGAAGAACCGTCTTTTCAGCAGGACAACCACGTGGCCCCATGCAGAATGAAGTTGGACTCCTCCCTCACAACGCACACGACAATGAACTCAGAATGGACCCTCCACCTGAAGGGAAGGGCTACAGGTATAAAACCCTTAGAAGAAAACACAGGAGCAAATCTTTGTGACCCAGGGGTCAGGCAAAACCTTCTGAGGACACCAAAGACACATGCAGAAGGTAACACAGATAAGTCAGCCTACGTCAAAAATGTAGGGCTCTTGTGGTTTAAGAGACACCATCAGAAAACGAAAAATCAATCGAAGGAATGGGAGAAAATACTTGCAAATCACATATATATGAGATTTTTTATACAGAATATATAAAGAGTTCTTACAACTCAACAATAATAAAAAGACACTCCAATTAAAAGCTGGGAAAAGGACCCGAGTAAACGGTTCTCCAGAGACGTGATGCAAATGACCCGCAAGCATGTGAAAATATGCTCCACGTCCTTAGCCACTAGGGAAATGCAAATCAAAACCACAAGATGACACTTCGCACCCACTTGGACAGCTGTCAACAGAAAGATAGTAACTCAAGGACGTGCAGAAACCGGAAGCCTCAGACACTGCCGGTGGGAACGTAAAATGGTGCGGCCGCGCGAGAAAACATCTGCTGGTTCCTCAGAAGGCTGAACCCAGCGACCACGGGAGCGAGCAACCCAACTCCTACCAAGTGCGTGCACGGAGACGTGCAGACGAACGTCCAGGCGAAAACCTGGACACGAATGTTCACAGCAGCGTGACTCGTGCCACCTACGAAGTACAAACAGCCCGTTGTTTATAACGCGCTAGAACACGGGCGAGCCTCGACACCATGACGCTGAGAGCCAGGTCACGAAAGAGCGCACATAGCATGACTCTATTCGTACAACGTAATGTCTAGGAGAGGCAAAGCTCGAGATGGAAAGTGGATTAATGGATGCCTAGGGTAAGGGACGGGGGAGTGGGGAGGAAAAGGAAGTGACTGCTAATGGGTACAGAAATTCCTTCTGGGGTGGACAGGTTCTATAACCGTCTGTGGTTAGAGGTGCACAACTCTAGAAAGATACTAAATAGGACTGAATTGTACCCTTTAAGTGGCCGATCATATAGTGTGTGAATTATAGCTCAATAAAGCTATTCTATTAAGGAAAAAACCCCACAATCTAAATAATGGGTCTCCGTCCGGACTTAAAAGTTTTTTTAATAAAAACAAATTTTAAGGGGCGCCTGGATGGCTCAGTCGGTTGAGCGTCCGACTTCG